TCAGGAGGCTAAGACAGGAGGACTAGAAGTTCAAAGCCAGCCTCAGCAATTCAATGAGGCCCTAAGTAACTTCAGGAAACCCTGTCTCTAAATAAAAACACAAAAAAGGCCTGAGGATGTGGCTCAGTAGTAAAACACCCCTAGGTTCAATCCCAGGTACCAAAAGAAAAAAAAAAAATGACTGGCAAAGCTTTCTGTTTTCTGATTAAGTCTGAAAACGTAATGTCATGGACTATAATGTGGAGCAATTTATGTTTATTACATAATGTTTTACTTTGAATATAACTTTTAAACTATTTTCAAGCTAAAACTGGCAATAAGTTATATGAATTCGATAAAGAAAGAATTATAAATTGATGCATAGAAGTGTTGGAAAAGGACTATAATTAAATAGAGTACAAAGGCACTTAAACCCATAAAACTATGAATGAATACTAGATAAACAACACAAACTCCTAAAAACACGTTTCTGGCCCTTGTATTGGAATGAGTGTTTAGACTTCCATTTACAACAGTACCTCCTAAATCACCTGAAGTTCTTTTTAAAAAGCAAATTTTAATTCTCTATGTCAAATTTTATTCTCTATGGTGGGCTCTGATTTCTGCCTTTCTAACAAGCTTGTAGGTCATGGTGTGCTATTGATTTGCAGACCATAATTTGAATAGCAGTGATTTAGAGCTGAACGCTTAAGGGAGTGAAAACAGTTCATTCCTGCAACCAGATTATTCTTCAAAACATTAGACATCTGAAACTTACTTATTAAGATCAACTTCTGTAAGTCTTCTATGAAAATCTGAAGCAGCCTCTGAGAAGTTTTTTACAGCAGAAAACAAGGAGTCCTTTTTTTAAGTAGAAAAAAGAAATTACAGGCATTAGTGAGTCATATTTTAATTTCATTTTTCTGTCCTCTCCACACTAATGTGATAGAATAGATGCTGAAACTATTTTGTTATTGAGCCTTCTTGTAGATTCATGAAAAGTATTAGGATATATCACCAAAAATATTGTATGAAATTTTTTAAATGGCTAAAATTATTCTTAAGGAAATTACCACTCAAAAATTTAGAATATAGATAATTCTTTGACCTATAATTTACTCAAAGCCAATATTCATTCCTTTATATATTCATTTTAATACATTTTTATTAGGACAACTACTCCACATAAAACACTGAATATATAGCTATAAATAAATGATAATCCCTATAATTGTTACAGGATTAAAACAATAACAATTTTTTTTTTCTGGCACCAGGGATGGAACTCAGGGGTACTTGGCCACTGAGCCATATCCCCAGCCCTATTTTGTATTTCCTTTAGAGACAGGGTCTCACTGAGTTGCTTAGCGCCTTGTTTTTCCTGAAGCTAGCTTTGAATTCTTGATCCCCCTGCCTCAGCCTCCTGAGCCACTGGGATTATAGGTGTGTAACACTGAGCCCGACTCAATTTTAATTTCCAAGCAGTACATTTAAGATCTTACTCAAAAGGCAACCTGTGACAAACTGATATATTCTGACTCAATGATCAGGTTTGATGGGTAAAACTTTTCTTTAGTTTACAAATTAGGTTCTCAGGACGATTTTAATGCTATAATTTATTGTTTTTCATGTTTTCTAAGCAGGAGTTGATTGATGGATACTGGGAATTGAACCCAGTGTTGCTTTGCCACTGAGCTACATCCTCAGCCCTTTTTATTTTTAATTTTGAGACAGGGTCTTGCTGAGTTACTGAGGCTAGCCCCAAATGTGTGATCCTCCTCTCTCAGCTTCCCAAGTGTCTGGGATTATAGGCATACACCAACCACTGCACCCGGCCTCTAAATAATATATTATTGTTTTGCTATTTGCATCATTCTGTTATGCAAAGTATAACATAAAGTATTCATTTTATAGATACAGCAWGTACAGCTCAGACAACAGGATTTCTATTAGGTCACTCTGGTAATTGGTACCTTCAATATGAACACATTTAAAATGAAAAACAGGGTCTTTTCATCCTAGATTTTCTTCAATTTTACTTGTGTTTTAAATCTTGCTTAAATAATAACAGATGTGATGGAAACTGAGGGAAGAGAGTATTGAAGTTTTTCATTTTAACTGTTTAACAGAAGTTACAAGGCACAGTGGCACATGCCTGTAATCCCAGTGACTGAGAAGCCTGAGGCAGTAGGAT